CCTGGTTTGTTGCGTTTTAGCGACGTTTTTATTTGATTGAATCAGTACTGCGGCACTCAGTGGGAAACTGATTATTTAGATTGGGGCTGGGTGACCTTGCTTTGTGCTTGAATTGAGCGGTTCTTGAAAATTCAATGCTGTAGAGTGATTCCACGGAATTATTGTTGTGTATCGTATGTCGCATTCTGGGAGCTTGAATGCTCGTTCTTATAAAAGCTGAAAAAACTGAGTGGAACAAACTCCATTTAATAATCAAGTATGGGTTAGGATAAGTGGGCCACATTTAGGTCTAAGTGATTCTACTAAATTAATTTAGTTGTAGCAGTGAAACTAAGTCCGACAACTGTCTAATGTTTGACTTGTTCAAGCTTAATAACCTCAAATTTTCCTCATGGTGTCTTTGAAGGAACATTATTGGATGCTTTGTTCTAATTATTTCCGAATGCAGTGGAACGTCAAATTGTATGAGCTAAAAAAGCAATGTGATCGCAAAATTTTGGGAATTTTAATAAGATTTGTTTTTATTGTCCAAAAATTAAGTTAAATCCATCTCATTTTACCAGCATATGCTTTAGTGAATTAGCACAGATTTATACGGAAACTCATCGAATACCATGGTGAAAATCATAATGTTCTATTATTGAATTTTTTATTATTATTGTTATTATTTATTTTTATTATAGTCAATTTAACAGGTCATTTGTGACTGTGTGTTATGGACACTTTTCGGACAATCGATGAAATAACACGTGTGGTTTGCTTGATATACTTTTTAATTCTGTATAATTTCAAATGCAAAGAATTCTATTTAGCTGATCAAGTAAGTATCAAGAATCCTGATGAATGTGGGCGTCTTAGTGGAATACCTGTATAATGAGAGAGAGAGAGAGAAGGATTAGTATTTTCCATTTAATTCCACTAATTTATTTGCTTATCCTTGACAGATACGCGTATTTCGTCTACAATGTGTAGACTTCTTCAGTGTCTTGTACTAATACTCGACTGAAGAAAAACATCGCATTTACCGAATATATATTAGCACAGGTACATTTTCACTTAGAAACTAGCTTACTCGTTGATGTGTCCTAGGTAGTAATTTGAAAAGCTCTTACCGATTATATGTGCTTACCTCTCAGTATGTTCAAACTTTCCTATAAACAATTAAATTGACTACAAAGTCGCTAAACCGTAAATCAAAAACTTAAATTTAATTTTCTATAGGAACAGGTACTCCGCTGCTTACACGTTGATGAGTCCTAGGTAGTAACTTGAAAAGCCATGTGTGTCCGTTTCCTTGATCCCTGTTGAGTAAAGTTGAATTACGTTGAAGTAATGAAATTGGGTTGTTAGCGGAATGCTAAATAAAACAGCAAAAGGGTTTATCTTCCATTTAATTCCACTTAATTAATTTTGGTATCCATGACAGATACGTATTTTTTTTTTTGAATTACGTTGTTTGTTGATCTCGAGGCTTTCAGCAACATCCAATTTCCATGGTGTAGATACGGTTCGTAAAATCGTGATGTCCTCCGTCGATAGTTGGTGGTCCTCTGTGAAGATGTGTTCTGCAACCTTTGATTTGAAATCATATGTTAGGCCTTTTTCCTCTTGCTTTTTGGCCTTATTAACCTCCGCTATATAGGTTCTTTAAATCTAGTTGCTAAAGTTCTCTTGGTTTGCCCTACATATACTTTGTTACAATGATTACAGCTTATTTTATATACACCTGCTTTACCTAAAACATTAGCTGGGTCTTTAGTGGATCCTATCAATGATTTCAACTGGTTATGTCTACTGGTGAAAACTAAATCTAATCCGAATTGTTTTAACAGTGGTCTTAGCTTACAAGTAATATCTTGATCAAATGGAACGGACACTCGTTTCAATGGTTCAGATGCTGCGGTGAGGGTTGTAAATAATCTCCTTTGTAGAATTCTCGCTTTTTTATCGATGATTGCCTGGATTGTGGTCTCCTTGTATCCGTTGAGTCTTGCTGTTTCAAAGATGTACTGTAATTCCTTAACCTTTCCTGTATCGCTGAGTGGAAGAGTCTGCATTCGATGAATCATGTGGTGAAAGGCGGCCATTTTCTGCTGGAACGAATGGTTGGAAGTATAGGGGATAACTCTTTTGGTGTTTGTTGGTTTCCTGTAAATTTCGTATTCAAGCAAGGAAGATGATGACGATTCCCTGATGACTAGAAGATCGAGAAATGCGAGTTTCCCGTCTTTTTCTACCTCGTGAGTGAATTTGATATCCTTGTGAATTCTGTTGATCTCATCTAAATTTTGTGGAAGGGCTTCCTGTTTAACTACGCTGAAGATATCGTCAACAAACCTCCCCCAACGGTTTGCTAATAGTCCTTTCTCCTTCAGGATTGTCTCCAAGTTGGCCATGAAAAGTTCACCCAAGAAGGGGGATAGAGGGTTTCCCATTGGGGCTCCTTTCGTCTGCTTGTAGAAGTTACCTCGGAAAGAGAAGTAGTTCTCTTCCATACAAAGGCGGGTCCTCTCGTTGTGTTAATAGCCAGTCCTCCAAATGGTTGATCGCTTCCTTGACCGCTACGCTGGGAAAAAGAGCTGTGACGTCGAAAGATACCATAATCTCGTCCTCGTTGATGTCTCCTGAAGATTGTAGTTGCTGGGCGAACTCCTGGGTGTTACTAACTGCTTTACTCTGGAACTGATTCGACATACTCTGGAACTCTTTGACTAGCCACTTCGCTAGTTTGTGGGTGGGGGAACCAACTGCAGACACGATCTCTCGCATTTCATTTCCTGGTTTGTGGACTTTGGGGAGACCATTGATCCTGGATAGAATGGAATTGGGTTCCCGTAAACGACCTGCTCCATCTCCTAATATCGATTTGCACTCCTTCAGTGCTTTCTCCACGCGTTTCACTATGTTCTGTAAGGGGTCTACTCGATGCTGTCTATACGGTCCGTTGTTAATCTTCGTTGTTATCTGATTATCGTAATCGTCCTTGTCCATGATAACGACCGCGTTTCCCTTGTCTGCCTTCACGTAGTATACTTTTAGCTCCTTTACAATCCGAATTTCTTTTTCGTTGGCGTGACTTTGTTCCTGTTCCTGTCTCATTATACAAGTATCAAGATTTGTACTATGCGCCAAATGGAAACATCTTTTAAATTTTACCAAGAACGTCAAGGAGGATACAGAAAATTCTATCATCACCTGGAGTTTTCATATTTTGATTTGTTTTAGATATATAATTCGTCCAAATCAGTCCCCCAGAAAACATCACAAATATTTTTCCGAGAGAAAATATTCAGATAATCCAGAGAGACCTGATTTTCAATAGAACTAGTAAGAATGTACTCGAAAAAAATGCAACAGATAAAAATTATCACCTAAAATTCATTTTAAGTCGGATATTCTTAAAACTAAATAAACACATATTAGCTATAGTTTGAAAAGTTAGTTTATTGAAACTCCTCTCCTAGGATAAATGCCCGCATCTTGTACTTAATGCTACCCATCAAATCCTGTGCAACACTTGCGTCATCTTTCTTACACACTTTCATCCCCTCTTTCTTCAAATCCTTGTCGTTTTTAAGACCTTCCCTATTTTCCGGAGCTTTTCTTTCATAATCGCCCAGAATTTTTCCATTGGGAGAAGTTCTGGCGACGGCGAGTTTTGCGGATTTGCCTCCTTCGGTACAAAAACAACATAGTTGGCTTCGTACCGCTCCATCACCAGATCCTGCCAAAACAGAATGTCACATTCGTGAGACCGGAGGGAGGACAGCAGGCGCTTCTTGAGGCATTCTTCTTTATATATTTGACCGTTGATGGTGCCGGTCGTTATGTACGGCTTGCTGAATTCGCCGCACCCACAGATCGCCTGCCTGAACTTCTCCGGAACATCCAGGCGGGACTTGCTTGGCGTCCGCTTTAATGTACGTCTTGTCGTCCATTACGCCAGAGCTGGTAGCGAGTCACTTTTTAGTGACTTGGTCACTTTTTTCAAACTGGTCACTTAAGTCACTTGGTCTTGTAATCAGTCACTATTTTCACCTTTTTTAGCGTGAATTTATTTCAAGATTGATCAATCTTTGCATTGTGGCGTTTAATCATCTTTCTCTATCTACAGGGTGTCCACGCATTTTTCTTAATAAAATTTTTCCAGTATTTTAACGGATAAATTCCAGTTTTATAATAAAAATACTATTTTAAAATGCGTTAAAAATATGCTTTTTTTTGTGGATTAAAAACAACAGCAATTAATCCAAACGTTTTTAAGACATGGCTATCAGTTTTAAAGAAATAGCTTTACAATCAAATCCATTGAATGTTGAAATTTAACACTTACTTAATTTATCACTTAATAAAGTTAAAAACTTACTTAATTTGAGTAAGTCCAAGCTAAAAATACGGGGAACTTACTGGAAGCTTTAATAACCTCAAAGCGGTTCTTTTGGCATCTGAAAATTTTCGGGAACTTCTATGAAGTTCCTAGAATTTCAGAGAACTTCACAGGTGTTCGGAGTTCTTGTAGAAAAAAAAATAAGTTTCTGTAGCAGCTCGTGTAGTCACAGCTCAAAAGATTTGCGTTTTTCAATATATTTTTCACAACGTGAAAGCGTGTGCCGAACCCCAGTACAAAGACTTTTTTATCGACCGCATAAACAGGAACGGTTCAGGTAGCGATCAAATTTGAATTATACAGGATTTCACAAATTTACCATCAAAATCATTAACATTTGCGATCAAAGAATAATCTGACTTCTGTCCTTTCACACTTTTGTTTTTGTTCTTGACGTTTACTTCTTCTTCTTCTCTATCTTCACTCATCCGGCTGTCAACGAACCAACGTTCTTCACTGCTGATAGAGTACGGTTTCAACAATTCCCCGACCCGTAAACCTTGTCCGGAACCAAGTTACCGGCGAGATTTACTGGACACCTTCACCTTGATCAAAGCCAGTTTGCTCACCGGTCTTCTGTACACTCCAGTCGATGTGCGCACCTTAGCCTGCCTTATGCGCCCATCTCTGCCTTGGATGACTTCCTCGACTTTACCACGAATCCAACCGTTGCGTCCGTGTCCAAGTCCCCAGGTGCTAATGGCCTGGACTCTTCCAACCACTTTGAACGAGCATTCAACGATGGTAAATACTCGATGAGCCAACGCTTCCATAGTTTATCGGCGATGATCTGCGAACGTTGATATGTGTTGCGCAATGCTTCCGCTTCATTTGTCGGTGCGATGGATGAATCCTTAAGTCCTGACGAAGTACCACGTAGAAAATGATTAGGTGTTATAGCTTCTCCTGTATCCGAGTCTTGCGGCACGTAGACAAGTGGCCTGGCATTGACTATCTCCTCCGCTTCCGAGATCACCGTGAGCAATATCTCATCGTTCAGTCGCTGTCCGTTGCTGAGTGTCGACATAATCTCCTTTACTGAGCGAACCATGCGCTCCCGTACGCCTCCCATGTGTGGCGCAGAGGGGGGGTTGAAGCTCCACCGAGTTTTTGCGTTGGTGAAGACGTTTGCGCACTCAACATCCATGCGCTGAATCTGTCCTTGTAGCTCCTTGTTTGCCGCCTTCAGATTAGTACCGTTATCGGAGAAGATAACAATCGGTGGTCCCCTCCGCATCCCGAACCGACGGATGGCCATGATGCATGATTCAGCGTTCAAACGGTACGCTACCTCCAGGTGGACTGTCCGAATATTCAGGCATGTGAACTGGACAATCCACCTTTTTTCTGTTCTTCGACCGACAGTGACATCTATGGGACCAAAATAATCGACCCCAACGTAGCTGAACGGCTTAACAAACGGTACGAGTCGTTCGGCCGGCAGTGGAAACATTCGAGGAATCTCCGGTCTGGTTTTGCGTACCTTACACCACTGACAATTCTTCATTACCTTGGCAATATATGCCCTTAGCTTCGGGATCGAAAAACGCTGTCGTATCTTGTTGAACACGGTTTCTTTGTTGCCGTGCCCAAAACGTTCATGATATGATTCGATGAGACGATAGGTGATGATGTGATCCCTTGGAAGTATGATGGGAAAACGGGTATCGAACGGTACGAATTCTGCTAATCTAGTCCGTCCATCCATACGTAGAGCTCCATACTCGTCGAGGAACGGACTTTGTTTATATAGCTGACTTGACTTCTCGATCCGCAGCCATTCTTCTGGCAGCAGTTCCTGATTCTTCTCCAAAATGGCCACTTCATCCTTGTAACCTTCTCGTTGTGCCTGCTTCCAGATTACCTGCTCAGCAATCTCATATTCCTCTTGTTTAAGCGGGGCGTCGATGGAACAAACTGGGCGTTGTACGTACGAACAGTCAACGTTTCTATCGGCATTCGTTGCAGGTTGCTATTCGGTGGTGGACGTTTATGTGCTGGCCAATCTTCTTCCGGATGTTGAAGAAACTCCGGGCAACAGTACCAAGGTCCATCAGATTCTAGAAAGGTACCGCTTTTCCATTTCGTAAGAATATCAGCAATATTCAGTTCTCCCCCTCCTTCCTTGCGTTCACGGGGTCGGTTGTCTTCGCTTTTCTTCCACTGCCAGCTCACCGCTGGGCCGTCTTGGTATCCTTGAAAGATTTTACCACATGGGAAACGGTCGAATTGTCGATTCCAAACTGTTTCGCGATCCACCTGTGGGACTGACGAGGGGGGCAACATATCTAAATCTCAAGTTTAGATGCTCAACAAATCTCACACTAGCGAATCAATCTTCGAAAAATCTTCTTTCATTTGTCGCATTTACTTGCATCGCTCATCATCTTTTTGCAGGAAATCTTCAGAATCGTCATCAATCTTCTTTCTATCTACTCAGCGTGTGTGCAGCTAGCCACAGCAAAACACAATCTTTTTTACATCGTAGATAGAGTCGTCCCCCTCGGGGACTGACCTGGATTTTCCACGACCGGTTCCATAATTTTTTGTCGAAGCACTTCTTGCTTGGATGCCATCTCAATAACCACTTGACAGATTGTGACGAGATGTTTCTTATGTAAACATTACACTCTAAACTAGTTTTACTCACAATTTTATCTATTTTTACCCATGCCATAAAAAGTTATACACAAAAGAAAGTGTTGCATTTTTTTCGAGTACAAGACCCAAACTGAAATAATGGGAACTGTGAATTTCAAATTGTGTGTGAGCTTCCAAAAGGGTTTTCAACTTGGGTCAAATTTCGAAGCATTATTTTCAAAAGTTTTGTTCCTCAGGACAGAGAATCGCCTTTTAATTTGTTTTTGCAAATCCCGCCAGATAACTTTCATGGCAGGATCGTGTGTTCTTTGATATTGCCTTCTACGGACATTTTCAGACGTAAATATCAAGAGCGGAAGATCGTCGTTTATTATAATTGAATCGAATTTAACTTCCCATTTTGGTACTGAGACAGCTCTTGCTTCACCTATAGAAGTAGCCAGAGATTCAAGAGCATGATTAATATCAACTTTGGTTTACAAAGGAATGTTTGGATCGAAGCTATATTCCATAAATGTTCGATATTGCTCCCAATCAGCTCAATGGTGATTGAAAGTAGAGCTGTTGGGATAAGAAATTATTTTTTAGGATATTTCAAAAGTTACTGGAAGGTGATCAGAACCGAAGTCAGCATGGGTAACCAATTGGCTACAAAGTAAATAGACAGTTAAGACCAAATCAATAGTTGAAGGATTTCTTGCTGAAGAAATGCATGTGGGGCTGTTTGGATATTGAATAGTGTAATAACCTGCAGAACAATAATTAAATAGTATATCAAGAACAACATGTTAGAAGGGCAAACAAGCTGTTTGTAAACAAACCTTCTTATGCACTTTGGGCCCATGCATTAATTATGGCACGCTAAATCGAGGAGAAATTCAGCCCACCCCCATCCCACCCATCGTGATGTTTTTCCTATACCTAATGCATTGCTTGTCACAAAATCTTAGAACCCCTAGAGCGTGACATAATATATGCATCAACCCTTTTCTAGCCGCCCATATGACACCAACGCAAACCATTAACATCACCATGTAGGGGAAGCTTTCCCCTTCCCGATGATGTTGTTGGTTTGCGTGGACCGGCGAGAAAAGGATCTACAACGGTGGCATTTGATATAGCCATTGGAATTGCTTTGAGCATTATTGCATCATAATCACCGATAATGAAGAGATTTAACCGTTGTGAAAATTATGTTGCTGGCCTACGCATTGAAATGGAAAATAGGCAGCTATATTTCCAAATTTTGTTTAGACAGAAACTCCAAAAGTTTCAAAAGCTTGGGTTTCAAATTAAGAAAGAATTTCATATTTAATACGTCTACAAACAATGATGGCAACGGCACATCCGGCTCCAACAGTTTCTTTGATTGTCGAGGTTGTATGCCATTCTGTGATAGAAGTTGGAGTTGACCAATGAGCTGGATTACCGAGGTGAAGCAATCGGTTAAGTTGTGTGAGAAAAACCCCTGTACGATACAAGCAATGAGTGACGTCACTACTTGCGTTTACGTTGATTTTTTGGTTTACTAATACAACAATATTTCACGATCTGCATTACCTCTCTCTGTATCACATTGGGAGTTGACGGCACCGACGAGCCAGCATCTCTTCTCACATATAGCATTTTTCAGTGGAGTGAAAGGATACGACGATGTTTGCCATGTTTCACGATTGTTTTCGTCATAAGAGTAAAGAGCTACAGAGTCGCCATTATTGCCAATAATAAAAAAAAAAACATTTGTGAGAACGCTGAGCACAGCGAGCCACTCACACATGTTTGCAAGGCATGTATTATTTCACGAAAACTTTGTGGATCACATTGATCGCACAATTTGGGGTGTTGCAGATAGAGCTGTAATTAGGGCGTAGCAGCTTTTGTAAACAATTACTTCTCTCGATGATTTATAGGAATTCAGGGCACGCCCACGCAAACCTACATAACCATCGGGTAGAGGAAGTCTTCCTCTACCCGATGGTGCTGTTGATTTGCGTTAACTAGCCTTGACTTTCTACAAATCATCGAAAGAAGTCATTGTTTACAAAAGCTGTTACGCCCTAATTCCAGCTCTATCAAGATATTAACAATATGATCCACTCATGCCTTTTCCAAATGTTGCAATGGCGACCCGCAAAATATTACTTCACGCACCATCTAGCGTTGAAAAAGGTCAGCAACAATCATTCAATTACAATCGAGGGATGCAAATATAGTACTTATTACAAAAGTAAGAGTCAAATTATTTTCATAAATTACATTGTGTATATTATTTTAAAATTTGTCTGTCATGTCACTGTTGTCATCAAATAAAATAAAATGCTGGAATACATTTATTTGAAATATTAATCAAATTTTCATATATTTTACCCCTCGTGACGATAAACAAATAAATTGGTAGCCTTTTTGGCCACAGAGGTGCTTTCATCGCTAAAAATTCGGTGCGCCAGCTAAGTGAAAGAGTGGATCATATTGTTAATATAATATATTTGATTTTTCGCAACATTTCCTGCTTTTGATTGTGGTTGAATAAATTCTCCAGATTTGTAAGAACAAAGCCTGAACTGAAGTTATTATTAAAAAAGTACAAGTATTATTAAGCATGCACTTTGAATAAAATCGCGAAGAAGTCGTTTCTTCAATAGGCGATAGGGTATCCTAGTATGAAATTTTAAATATGCACACAGGACCGAAATACCTGGGACGGGACTTGACAATCGGGTAGCGATTTCGAGCCAATTTCTGTCAAATCCGAGGCATTTTCTGATTGGTCGATTTGACAGTAGCAATCGTGGAATAAAAAGGACACACAAACACGAACCCCTCACGTACCAATATATTGACGCGAAGGGGAATTATTGACATTAATATTGATGATGTGAATATAGAAATATTGTCAATACCGATGTATTGACGTCAATATTGAATGTATTGACAATACGATTCTTGTCAATAAAAGCAATCGTGTAGGGTCCACTAGTGGGATCACATCAATCTGGCTGGCAGTGATGCCGGAATCAATTTTGACGTCAATGGCGTTGTTAATTGTTTATATTTTCGAAAGAAATATCATAATTTGGTGCACTGCGTGTTTAAAGCGATGGATATTGTTTTTTGTTTATGGTTGTTTCTATTGTGATGAGCAAAACTGAAACAAAGCTACTAAACTGTGGTAGAAACTCCATGGCATCATTGGTCAACGCCGTCAAACACCCAAGCGGGAAAGGTGACTGACAAATACGAACAATAGTCGCCTACCTCACATAACTGGTTCCAAACGACAACAAGCAACGATGGTTTGTTGATGTTTGGAACCAAATTCACATATGGAAAATCAATGAGTGTAAACAGGTTAGGACCACTGAATTTGTCGTCTCTTTCGTTATTCGGTTGTTTAAATGGAAGACGGAGTTTGACGTCACTCTCGCATAACCATTTAAAAAGCGGGAGGATGAAAGAGACGGCAAATTCACTGCGCCTTACCTATTTACACATCGTTGATGTATGATCAGTAGGCAATTTCACAGTACATCCCACCCTTGCAAACACCACGCACACCGGATAACGTTTTCATATAGTTTCCATTGGAAACGCACATGATATTTTTTCAATAATAAAATTAATGATTTTTATCTGAAATTCATATAACATTCATATGAT